AAGGGTGCAGAATGGGGACGGTGACCAGGCGTGTCCCCAGGGACCACGGGCATGGGGTGCGGGTGCTGCTTACCTTGGCACTCACGGGTGCTGGGCTGCGCTGTGGTACTAGGGGGGCACTGCCGAAAACACTGGCCCTTGTGCAAGTAAAACTTGTCTTTGCACTTCATGCAGAAGTCTCTGCTGAAGCAGCTCTCGCAGCTGGGCGACCTGCACTCTGCCGGGAAGGAGGGCTGGTCAGATGGGCGAGCCCGAGGGCCGGCATGTGGCAAGCCCAGAGCCGGCAGCCCCAGTACACACCAGGGACCCAAAGCCCTTTGCAAACATTTGGGGGCCAGGCTGCAGTTCCGGGCAAGGGAAAAGGGGAGGAAGCCCCACAGCCCGGCTGCCCCTGGCTCTCACCGCTGCCCCTGGCTCCGTGTTGCCAGGGATGCTGCGGGAAATGCAGCTGCTGCCCTTCCTGCAGCGCTGGGACCCACAGGGTGGCGAGAGGAGAAGGGGGCATTGGGAGGAGCAGGGGGGCCCCAGCTGGCGCAGGACATACTTGTGCATCTGTTGACCTCCAGTCCCCGCACACCGAAGTAGCCGGGGGGGCAGGTATGGACACACATCCCGTACTGGCGGATGCCGTCCCTCCAGATGAGCAGGAAGAGCCGGTGATGGCAGGTGATGCAGCCATTGTCCTCCGAGCACAGAACGCAGCCCGTACAGTTCTCCAGCAGGCTGGTGCTCACTGCAAGGACAAACGGACGAGAGGGGCTGCGGCACGGCTGTGGCATGCGTGCATGGCATGGCCAAGGCGCTGGGGAGGGTTCCAGCTCCATGGCAGCCCCTCTCCAATCTGCGGGGGTGACAGCACTGTCCTGCCCCTCTGCAAATGCTTTCCCACCTCCCTCCGCTCCCCAGTTTCCTCCCTCTCCCTGGGCTGGAAGCGTGGGGACGTGCAGAGCCATTGGTCCCGGCTGCACTCAGCTCAGGCATTGCCGCCTCCATCACCCCGAGATGCAAGGCCGGGGATTTGCTCCGTGCCTGGCTCTGCCCGAGGGTGCCAGCCTGAGCCCTGTCCTTCCATCAGCTGTGCCCATTCCATCCGAACTGGAGCTAAACAACAGCTCGGTCAGCGGGTAGAAATCTGCTCTGACCTGAATTAATTAGTTGATGCCTGTTAAGTGTCAGGGGACAAAGAGCATTTTGGAAATGCTCAAGAGGAGCCAAGATAAGGATCTGTCTGGTTGCTCAAGAGCCTCTGCTGCCTCTCTGGCTGCCTTGCTGTGCTCCCGACCTGTGTGACAGCAGTCAGCACGGAAGTGGGCTCTGCTCCCAGGGACAAGGATGGGGTGCCAGCCCCTGCCAGCCTGCAGCTGCTGGCGATGCCCGCGGAGACACTGCTGACTGCTTCTCCTCGTCGAGCCGGCTCCCTGTGCCCAGAGACATGCAGCCTGGAGAGATGCTCCTGGCACTGGGGCACTTTGGGAGCCGGGTAGCTGAGCCCCGAGCGCTGGGGGCTGCCCAAGCCTGTTGTCTTTTTGCACCCAAAGACTGGCTGGACATCTCTGTAAGGGGCCACCAAGCTCCTGCGGGCAGGCAGCTGATGCCTCCGCTGTGCCCGTCTGTGTTGGGAAGCATTTGCTTGGCTCTGGCACTGCGGGTACCCCTGAGTGCTCCTGAGCAAAGGTTCACGTTTTGCAGGCTGGTGACAGTGCCAGCAGTGCTGGCACTACGTGCTCAGGGCCCGGGATCCATCTGCCAGCAGATCTTGGAGCATTAAGATTGTTTCTACATGTAGCAAAGGCCTAAGGAGGTGGCTGACCTGGGCAGAGCCCAGCGCCTGCAGTTGGGACAGGCAGGGGGCTGATGTGGACCCCCAGGAGGGACCTGCCCTGGAGCAGCTCCGGGCCCCGCAGAGCCAAGCGGGCAAAAGCAAGGGACGAGCCACTGTGCTGGCATCCCAGGCACAGGCAGGTTTCAGCCATGGGAGCGATCCCTGGCATGGATCCTCTCTGACCCCCGGGAGCTGACAGCAGAAGGGCCCCACGGCCGGGGCAGAAGGGTCTGGGGAAGCTGGGGGAGATGCTGGCAGACGATGCCTCCCAGTCCTGTGTGCTGGTCCCTGGCACAACTTTCCCTGGTGCAGGTAAGTCCCTGGTGCGGTGGTGCCATGTAGCCGTCCCCAAGCTGGCTCATCCCGGTCCCCTCACCAGGGCACAGGGGCTTGGACGGCAGCACGGCACAGTGTGGCCAGGAGGTTTCGTTAAGGCTAGCTGGGGGAGATGCTGGCAGACGATGCCTCCCAGTCCTGTGTGCTGGTCCCTGGCACAACTTTCCCTGGTGCAGGTAAGTCCCTGGTGCGGTGGTGCCATGTAGCCGTCCCCAAGCTGGCTCATCCCGGTCCCCTCACCAGGGCACAGGGGCTTGGACGGCAGCACGGCACAGTGTGGCCAGGAGGTTTCGTTAAGGCTGCGTCTGCTGAGAGCGCGCTAACGAAGCACCTTGGATCCATTAAGTTGTTATGGTCTCCGTTACATATTTACCAAACGCTGACAACATTTGTGTTCCTGACTGCAGCTGGAGTGGCTTTCCCTGGGACCCACGGGATTCCCTTCTCTAATTCTTTTTGATGATTTTTTTTTTGCTGCTCTGCCTCCAACTCTCATTTGGGTCAGGGAAGGTGGGGAGCCTGGCGCAGGCTCCGGGGTCTCGTTCCCATCACTAGCTTTAAAAATAGCCCCATGGTGCAGAGACGGGAGAAGGCTCAGCTCTGCCCCATGAGCCTTGGGGCTGTTGGCACAGCAGGGCTGCCGACACGGGCGTCTGCCGCCAGGAGCAATGCCGGGGAGCTGCCGCAGAGTCAACGTGGGCTGTGCCACACATGGGGATGTGGCTCACACCAAAACCATGGGACTGAAGAAATTAGAGACACCTGGTGGGTTCACCTCCCCCTGCCCAGCAGCGATTGCAGACCTGGGGCACAGGGCTGAGCTGAGTCAGGGAGCACACAGGATACCTGGGTGCCCAGATGGGCTCTCCCTGCCTGGGCTGTGCCGACCATCAGTGCGGCATCACCCATTGCTGCCTGCCCCAAGCCAAACTCTGCTGCCATGGGCTCTGTGGGCACCAGGAGGCTCCTGGGCACTGGGCTGCCCAGATCATCCCTCTGCGGCAGCAGGGCATGGCTGTAGGCAGTTCCCAGCAGCTGCGGGGTGCTGCAGCATCCCTCTCGGCTCCCAAACCCCAGAGACCTTGCTGGCCCTTCTCTACTGGTTGTACAGGGAGAAACAACATGTGTTCAAGGCAGGAACCTGAGACCAGACCCCTGGCTGCTGCCAGGACCTGAAGTCCCCATGCATGTTGTAGCATCAGGCTGCTCGGCATCAAGTGTCGGCAGCCGGAGCGCTCGTCCTGCAGCACCCCGAGCCCCTCTCGCTGCCAGCCCATTTCTGATCAGAGGCACTTCAGCTGCCAGCATGGCCACCTGCGTAATCACATGTGCCCACTGACTCCACACATCTTTTAACATACAACAGCCACAGGGAAAGCTGTCTGGGCTCCAGCCCCAGCCCTGCCAGGTCCTGTCCCTACCCTGGCACGCACTGGTTTGAAAACCGATCTGTTCCCACCGCAGAGCAGAGCGTCAGCCCTGGCCCTGCTCCCCACAGCCGGGTGGCACTGCCCGGCACTGCCTGGCAAGGGGACGTGAGCTGGTGCCCAATGGAGGGGTGCAGGTACCTCGGCACAGCCCCAGCTCATGCCCTGCCCTGCACCCTGGCACCAGACAGCGGCTCGGCTGGTGCCTCTGTTCAGGGGAAGGACAGGGTAGGGCAGGGGGACAGGCAGTGCCTGCAGTGGCTCTGAGCATCCTTCCAGGATGCGCTTAATGTGTTACGCAGAGAAGGGACATATTGAAAAATCAGCCCGTTCTGCGCTCTCCCCACTGTGCCTGGCTCTCCTGGGGTTTGCAAAGCTGGTTTCCATGCCAGCCAGCGTCCCCTTGTCCCCTGCCAGCCCCAAGGGCATTGGGCAGGCAACGCCACAGGGCTGGGCATTGCCTTCTCCATGCACCTACCCTGAGCCAGCCCTGTGCCATGCACTGAGAGGGGAATGCAGCCGATCTACAATGAGGCCCGAGAGACTGGGTCAAGAAGATGTTGGTTCCCAGCTCCTTCCAGCCGCAGGCGTAGATCAGCCCCATTTCACACCTCCTGCTTGTTCCGTGCAGGCAGCACCGGTGGCTCCAGCACTGGCAGGGGAGGCAGAGGCCAGCAGCCCCGCATCCCCGAGCCGCCCCGCAGTACCTGAGCGGGACAAACCGGCCACGCGCACCGTACCTTGCTTCTTCCATCGGTTCTGCGTGAGCATTTCCATGGAACTGATGAATAACAGCAACATGAATATTATCCACAGCATCTGGGCAAGAGTAATTTCGGGCAGGGAAGAAATCAAATCATCCAAGCGGTTGGTGGGCTCGTCTCCTGCCAGA